ACAATTTCTGATCGATATTTGATAAAACCAACAATATTTTCGATTAATTTTCGATCAATGTAAACGCAGCATAATGGTCTCTATTTAATCGCGAATCAATTTTTCCTCAAAAGAACTACGATAGACTGCGTTCTCACTGGTCAGAATTTATTTGCAATTTTCTTTGCTATTTCATGATCGATTAATTTTTTATGTAAACGCAGCGTCTCAACAGTCTCGATTTAACTTAACCGTGTCTTGGATACTTTTGTGACAAGTGTAGACGGAGCATATAATGATCTCGATAAACTCCTCTCGTCCCCGAGAGCTATAACGTTTAGAACGCGCACGGAATGTTATCGTGGCCACGAGTTTATGGCGGTTTTCAATAATAAAACAACCGAGTTCCGCCGTGACGAAGCCTTCCATTATAGAAAATTTTATTAACGAGCCGATCCCGGAAGACAAAGCTGCTTCGACACTCTGCGCCACAGTGCGTAAATCAAACGCGATGCCTCGATCATTAAGGCTGCCTCTTCTCAAGGCTGCGCCCTCCCCCTTCGATCATATTGTATGCGTGCTTTTTCCAACGACAGAGCGATAGATTTTCAAGAATTGTTACGTGCGAAGCTTCGATACGTTCGCCGTTCCTCTCCAATCATTCGTGAGTTTTAAGTTTCCAACAATCTGCAACGTCTCCTTTCCTTGTACACTTTTAGGAGAAATTATAATTTACGTAAAGCAACTTTTTCTTGTTCGCTTGGCCCGCCTCAAAAGTATCCCAGAAATATGTTAACACTCTGTGCAAAATGAGAAAAATTAACACATTAGCCGAATAATTGGAGAATCTTTATGAAAAAAGCTCACGATTCATGGATTGATTGCATAACTCAACAGTTATTTTTTTAATTAAATACAATCGTTACACTGGAATAGAAAAGTATTTCTATTATTTCAACGCATTATGACGAAAGAAAACTGTTAATATCTTTCATCGTAAAATAAAAAGTTGTATCGAAACATTTATCCCTTCTCGAACAAAGCAAAAGCTCGACAAAATTATTACCTCTCTCTCCGCCATAAATTTTTACTCGGCCTCAAAATGGTTGGAAGATCGACTCGTGAAAAGGATCGAATCGATCGCAATTGAAACGCGTGGAATAACATAAAATAAGGAAGACAAGCGATAATAGGCTGGAAATGAGGCAAGCCTCGTTTGAAGCGTAGCAACGCGAAGCGGAAGCCAGGAATGGAGGGCGAATACCGATCGCTCCTCGTAATTTGCAGCGATTTCTCATCGGCTCCTGCGTATGCTGCAACGACAGGCAACCCGCCTCGACTAAACATCCATTTAACGTCCCTCCATTCGTCATCCCTAATTATCTCTAATCCTCGAATTCTTGCCATTTCTATCGAATCTCTCCGTGCTGCTCGGAAAAAAAGCGATAATAATTCAATAAACAACAAGCTGTCCCTCAGATCATTTCGGTGTTTGGCAGCGATGGGTATGATCCTTGCTTCTCGGTTCTCAAACAATTTTACGTTCCACGCATTTCGCGAGATCTCGAAAGGAATTTATTTTCTTCTATCGAATGTATTAAGCAAGAAAAGACGTGCATTGGGTCTCGAATATATTATTATGCACGCTTGTTTGAACGCTCATGACGTGTCAAAAATAATAAATATATATCGCGTGTTAATAGTCGATAAACGTGATACAAACTATATACACGCGACAAATATTTAAAAGTATTATTGGAACGGTTGGTAAATATACAGGAATCGAATTTCGTAATACTCGATTACACGTAACAAGTGTGAGAAATGGGAATAGAATGAATATATCTGGAAAATAATAAATTTGCAAGATACCTTCGCTGTTCAGATAAGATAAAGAAAAATTATATTGCGTTTAACAGTTATTTTTTTACTCGTGTATATATATATATATCATTTATGCCACGATTCTTTTATGCGCCGATTTTATACGCCAGAAATGAGAATCGATCGAATCACGGCGAAGCACGAAGAAGCATTTTTCTTGGACACTTTTATATCTCTTCTCTCCGTTTCCACCTCTTTCTCGCGCTTGCTGCTCCTTGCAACGATAATTACGTGTAATTAACCGGATGGTGTACCTACCCGCGGTGATACCCGGTTTTCACGTGTAACCATTACGCTCTTATGCGTGCGATTATATTTCTTGCGCACTGACAGCGCCTGGAACGGAACCATTTCATGCTATTCGGATAGACGGTGTTGTTACTCTTATTTGGCAATAAAGAACCGGAGGGGGGGGGGGAGGGGAAGAAAAATTTCTCGCCACGGAGTTTTATATTTAATCTTTTTAACTGGGATAGTTTTGCATGGTTGAACGATAAGTGATGCAGTAGTTTTATTCCTTTTGTTTCGCTCGTCCCCGCGATAAAATATGCAAATGCTGTGCCGATTTTGAAAAAACGAAATGATAAAATGCGCGCGCGGTTTATCGCCAATATTATTTATGTCGATGAATTATAAAAGAGTATTTATACCGATTATGTTAATAATTCAATGATTTCAATGATTTTTCTTCGAAATTCTTACGATATTTTCTTTTTTTTTTTTTTTTTTTTAATTTTATTCAGTTCGGGAAAATATATCTTTAGAAAGGGATAATCCAAGTGTCGACACTTTACTCTACTTCTCATCATCTCAAATATTGTAAATTTACACCCTTTTGAAAGATCAATTATCGTAAGAAATCAGATCATTTTCTTACAATTGAAATTGAAAAAGAAAAGAAACGTGAAAGTGTTATATATATTCGAGCATAACGTTATTCAGAAACTTTACCAACAAAGTTAAATCTCGTTTAAACCTGTCGATCACCGCTTAATAATCATTTAACGATAGTTTGGTCATCAACGAGGGATGTTCATTATTTAATAATTAAACAAATTTCTCCACTCTAAAAATGACACGCGCACGAATTTAACACATAATGGATATCGTGTTATGAGCCATAAATAATATAGCGAGCCACTCCTTAACACGAATTTCACGTGGAAAGCCCGCATTCTTGCTAAATGTCCCCAGAGAAATCGAGGCGAGCCAATAAAATTTATCGCGGCCAATAAAATTGCGATTCAACGGTGTAGAGGGGGGGGGGGAGGGGAGGGGGACAAGACATTCCAATCAAATGTCCGGAGGAAACTTTTGTTCGGCTCGAGAGGCATAAATTTCTATCCCCTATTTACAATTACAAACACGCTCGTGAAAATAACTTATTACTTGTCGCCTATCCGCCTCACAATGGCCATACGCTATACGCGTATAACATCGATATGAAGATTTATGCAGCGGCCACAAGATCTCTCTCCTGCCTTTGGCGCGTGAAGTTTCAGAGGAAATTACACGCAACAGATACCACGAGAATTATTTATCCGCGTGCAAAAATATATATATATATATATATATATATATATATACATCCGTCCTGGTAACTACCGTTTACCACCACGAATATTTTTCCGATTGGTTGACGCGTTACAAATTTTCTAAACGCGTGAATCGAGAATTTTTACCCCAATTTAATTTCCTGAATTACAAATCGAATTTTCGATCGAAATTTTTGAATACAGTTATACTGGAATAATTAATTCTACACCTGAATATGTTTTATATATATATATATATATATATATATACGTAACAAATAAAGAAATAGATTGAACAGATTATGTTTCTAGTGAAAGTTGGATTGCCATGATATAAAATGAAAGAAATTTATTGATCGACAATTTGATTTGAGAATTTAAGATAGTTCTAAAAGATTTAGAACAATTCCAATTTATTTAACCTTCCTAAACCGTTACAATTATTCGTGTTCAAAAATACTTCTCGCAGCTTCTGTTTTGAATTTATTAGAAATATAGATCAACACGATCATTTAATATAAATCTCATTTAAAAAAAAATTTATTCACGTTTTAGTTAGGATTTAACTATCTTCAATTAAATACACAACAATAATAAGAGGGTCATCACTCATCACTCTGGTCAGCGCAGAAATATAAGAGGATAAATTTATTTCTATCGGTGAATTTATTTATTTATTACGAGAACAAATTCGTAAAGCGAGAAACATGGAAATCTCGAGTCGACCTCGATGCGTTGACTTATCGCACCTCAGCAAGGGAATTAAAATAAAATGATTACGGGTTTTGAAGGGATATGAGGAAGTTAATTTCGAATTGGACCCGGGATCGTAAAAAATAAAAGCGCTTATTGATGAGGTAGCACAGGATAACCTGGTTCTGGTGTTGTTTCCATTAATCAGAATGTAAGTAGGTTGTGTACAGAACGAGATGTAATTGGCGGAATTATGAGGAGGACGACGATCACACGAACGTTTCGGAACAAGTTTATTTATTTTTCTCCGGCTCGTGAATATTCGTTTCGATTTTTGTAATATACGCGATTAATAAAGTGTTATAAATGATTCCTCGTATGAATTATTATGCTAATATCACGTGGAGATATTATTTTTTTTACACGACCGTTTTATATATTTTCCTCTTCCTTTTTTTACGCATCGCGAAAAATATATACCCACAAGTCTTCTGTATTCGTATTTAAATTATATCGAGTTCGATTCTCGGAAGAAAAACAGAAAAACAGGGAAAAATAAAAATAGGCTGAACAGACTATCATGATTTCTCGAAGCGAGCGTGTCTGAAAACGTTACTGAATCCGGAATGTCCATCAAAATTTGATTAAAATTTGTAAAAACCAGTTTCAATTAAAAATTGAACCAACAATTACCAAATACAAAATATAATTTCCATGCCGATTATTAAAAAAATTCGAAGAAAGTTTATAACAAAGAGTTTCAATTTCTTAAAATTCGTATTATCAAATACGAAAGTATTGTAAAGTAATAAAAAACGGGATTGCCAATTTCCAAAATTTTTAATTCTCTCTTAATCGTTTTTCAATTTTTAATCTACCTCCCTCTCGTTTCCTTGCACACCGACATAATCAACGTTTCTTCGCGTCCCAATCCTGTTTAACGATATCCGCCCCCTTCTCCGCGATCATCATAACCGCCGCGATAACGTTGGCGGCAGGGATTCGCGGGATGATCGATCCATCGATCACCCGCAAACCACGAACACCGTGCACCCTCAGCCTCGAATCGACCACGGTCCTGGAGTCGTTGGCCGGCCCCATCCTGGTCGTTCCACACGGGTGATAATACGAGACCGACACGTGTCTCACGCTGCACTCCCAATACTCGTCCGTGTCGGGGTTCAAATGTCGGCATCCGGGGACGTCCACGTAATTGAAACGCATCCCGTGCTTCCTCAACGTTTCGGTGTTCAAAATATCCTTGATCTTGCCCACCGTCTTCACCAACGTCCTCGTATCCTCCCTCTCCACGAGGTAATTCGTGTATATTCTCACGGGAACGGCCGGATCCGTGCTGTTCAACTCGAGCACACCTCGACTCTTCGGCTCGAGCAGGATCGAGAAAACCAATATCACGCTCGTCCTCTCCACCTCCTTTCTCATTTTTTCCACCATCTCCTCCTGGAACCCGATCGTGTCCAGTAAAACCGACAACTCGATTGTCTGGTAACGCTCGAAGTGGATGAACATTAACTGAACGTCCGGATATTTGGAATCCGGATCGTTCACGTTCATCGTGACGAGCAGATCGTACGCGATCAACGAGTCGTTCGATATTTCCTTCGACTCGAAAGTTACGAATATGCCGCCCCATACGAGGTGGTCCTGAAGATTCGTGCCCACGGGACGATCGGCCACGACGGGTATCCCCATCCGCTCGAGCTGCTCCCTGGGCCCGATCCCCGAAAGCATCAGTACCTGAGGAGTGGCCAGGCTTCCAGCCGAAAGGATCACCTCCTTTCTCGCTCTCACGTCGACGACCGTGCCTCGATCGCCCTCCGACCGAACACGGACGCCGATCGCTCGCCCGTCTTCCAACAATACCTTCTCCACCATGCTCGACTTCATCACGCGTAAATTCTTCCTTCCCTTGGCGGGGGAGAGAAACGTCAACGCGGCGTTTTCTCGCCGCCCCTGGTACACGGTGGCCATCGCCCTTCCGAAACCTATGAAACGATCACCGTTCACTTCCTCGAGAACTCGATGGCCGGCCTCGCGCAGCCCGTCCATCAAGATCCTCTGCGTGTCTGTCGGGGAAGGGTGGAAGTGTCTGATTCTCATGGGCCCGTCCTCCCCGCAATACTTGGTCCCGTGTTTGGACACGTATTCCGGCGAGCAACTCGTGGACTTGGTGAAGTAGGGGAGCACGTTCTCGAAGTTCCATCCCTCGTTACCCAGAACCTGCCAATCGTTGTACGTCTTTTCGTTCCCGATCACGTACAGCATACCGGCCGTCACCGAACTTCCGCCGAGCGCCTTCCCCTTCTCCCATTTGCACCGTTGGTGAACGATGCCCAAGCAGGAACCGTTTTGGTACTCGGCCTTGGGGAGGATAATAAAAGTTTCGTATTTTTACGAGAAAATTATAGATTTTCTTTTCGTAGCAGCAAGAAATAATTTGTGAAAGATAATTGGAATTTGAAATGTGTTCATACATGGAAATATTTCCATAATGCTTAAGATGAGAGACAAAGGGCTCGTGATCCTAGTGACTTATGTTTTTTTCTTAGAAATGCGTTTTTCCAGCAATCGTCGTTTGGAATGGATCATTGAGAAAGAGAATGAGCGACAGGATGGAGATGGTGAACGATTAAAAATTATCCTTTTTCTTCACATATCTCGAAAATTGGAAGTCGTATCGAAATGAAGGAAAAAGCGTTTTAAAGAGCAAGATTTCGTTCGTTCGTTGAACACAAGTCATTGTTTTCGAAGTCATAGCGGTTCAAATTTATCCTAATTTTAATAGAAAATAAATCAAAATGATATTAACGTATATGCTTAAGGGAAAATGTGTAATCTATCTGTAAATTGCGAAACAAAAAAATAATAACAATCGTGTTATCGTGTTCTATATTTCTTAAGCAAGTTAATGTTAAATACGATTCTCTCTTTTCGAAGAATAATCGGTAAAATTTAATTCGTTTACCAAGTAATGATAATTTTGCGGCCCATTTATGTTTTTGATGAAAAGGGCAGGCGAATAGGTTTCCGGTAAAGGATCCTCCCCTCTTTCGATCAACAGTACATCCCAATCCTCTATTTCCGTCAACCTGCTCGCCAGAATAGATCCTGCCGATCCAGAGCCAACTATTATAAAATCGAATTCCTCCTTCTTCGAAGCGAAGATCTCCTCTGCTCGATTCGTGGGATATTCATCCACATTTAATGCACAATAGGATGCCATTATCGTTTGTATCAACGTAGTGAAAGTGGAGCCTGGCGTCGATTGCACCAAGGCGCAAGCTGGCGCCATACAGGACTCCATGTCGTTCTGTATTTTGTTTAAACGGAATTAACTAACGGATGATAATTATCGTGAATATTGGTGTATGGCATTTTCTTTGAATCTTAAAATACAACGTCAATAAAAAGAACAATCTAAACAATTTTTCCTCGTATAATTTGAGGAACAGATTAAATGAATTAATAAAAAAAAAATGTTCACGTGTATTTTCATCACGATGATTATTCGAAATATATATTGCGAAAAATTTGTTAAAATATTTTAGAAAAAGAATTTCGAAATATATATTTGAGATGGTGCAATAGGAAAATTAAATAAGTAAAATTTGAACGAGAAATCAACAATTCTCACCTAAATGATCGATCACACTATGACGTACGTTGTATTTATAAACTGCACACCTGAACGTGTATCCGATCCGTTGACATCCTTATATATAGGTATTGTACGTCCATAAAAAGATGGCAGAAGTGGAAGAAAAAAAAAAAAATATCGCCTCACTGTCCAATGTCCTTCCTACTTGGCATATTTTTATAATTGGCCGAAACATTCGCATCTATAATCGAATCGGCTGATAAAAATGTAAATGGATATATCGAGTGTAATTAAAACAAAGTGATAATTTTTAAAGCATTGGCGTAAAGCAGTGTTATATCAACTATTTACAAATCATGCGTTTTCATAAGTTTACTAAAAATCCTATTACTGTGTCAATACGCTAGTGTACTCAGGTGGAACAAACGGAGACCCGTTTCCCCTGTTTCCCCTCTTCCATTTTACTTTGCTTTATCTTTCCCTTAGACAAATATTACATATTTATATTTACATAATCTAATCTAATCTCTCCAAGTTGTATACATTATTAATTTGTGTAAAACATGTTTAAAAAAGAATAAATAATGCGAGTTTTTTAATATATCTATACATCTTATAATATATCTGTATATATATATCTATATATCTATTGATATCAAAATATCAAAGAAGAATTTATCATGGACAGATAAATAATATTATTATAATTGTTACGTAGATATTGCGACAGATATAATTTTGTTGAATTATAATATGTAGATAATTTTGTAAATAATTTTTCCTAAATTTTTCTCGCTTAACGTTCGATTATCATTCAAACGAAATTATTCCTCGAATGAGTCGATAAAAAAATGATCATTCAACTAACTGTTTATACAAAGAGGCTTGTCTAATGAATAAAATTTGACTTTTTAATATCTTGTATCTTTTTAATTCAACGACTTTCGATCTTCTTTTTATAACGATCTTCGAATTGACTCTCAAAATATTAAAAAATTAAATTATATTCATCAGACGCAACAAATTTTATTCGAAACATTTTTTCAATAAAATGAATAAGTAAGGAATTATTTTGACCGGTCTCCTCATATTGGTTCATCCTTGGTATGTAAGATATATATCTTTAAAAAAAAAAACTACTTCAAGAACGTTTCTTCGATAAATTCATACATTAGAATTACTTTATTAAATAACCTCATAAATCATATCTTATACTTTTCGTGCATGCTTAATACTTTATCGGATACGAAAATAGTATAGTCATAAATACATCTCATTTACTCACGATAATAGCGAGCGTGTCGATAAATTTACTATTAATTCGTCCAGGAAATATTACATTTACAATTCAAAATACATTACCGTCAAGCGTTGAAAAATAAAACGCGTTTTCCTTTTCAAAACAACAAATATATTTTAAACAATTCGCACCGTGATGAGTGAATGACTTGGTAAATAAATAAATTCATAAAGCAAGATTCAAAATCGAGCATAAAATCCGTGCAATCCATTTCATAAGTAACAAACGCGTACGTTTCCATGTAGTCGACGAGTAATACCACTACAATCGATGAGCTCCATCGTCGAGGATCCTCGATCTCAGTCCTAGCAAAACGAGCGCTATATCCTTCAACTCGATCCCTCGTTCCTAGCGAGCATCTTTCATCTCGCTCCCCGGCTTATTTACCGCGCACCAACACCGCGTATTTATATTTGCGAAAATATATATGAAGCCTCTCCTTCCCTCTCTCCCTTTCGAACATCCCCACCCATAACGAGAAAGTCAATTTATAGGGGAGGAAGCAAGGTTATATCCAAGTGAGAAGTTATTTGACACTGCCCCACGCTCGAATATTTTTGCTTACCCTCGCAAATCTCGATGCCTTTGCCGGACAAGCGAGTTACGATCGATCGTTTCTCACACGATGTTACGACATTTTTTCCGAAATTCTAACTGGGGAGCTTCGAAAACACGAATATCATCTTTCCTCGACCGTTTAACCTTTCGTGTGACTTATTCTCGGGTTGGGAAACTGCAAGTTTTTTTTAGGCTGAGAAAAAGAATAACGGATGACGGAGGATGATGGTGCTAGAAGAAGAAAGAAGAATTCGAAACCTGAACGCATGGATGTTGCTAGTATGTTTATGTGGCAGTATTGATGTAGTGTGTTTTAAGAGATTTGGAATATTTTTGGGATATTTGAGATATTTAAAATATCGAATAGAATATATATTACACGGTCAAACTTAAATTAAGAACAATGGTTATGTGTATATTCGTTCAGAATGTTTCGTATTTCAAAATTATCTTTTGTATTCATTACGTAATTTAGAAATTTGTGAAATCATTCTTTAATTTTCTCGATGACAAGAAAATGATAAAAATAATCTTGCATTCTAAACTTTTCCCCATATGTACTCTAACTGCTCGAATTTTGAAATATCAGCAAAAACTTTTACAATTTAAAAAGATCAAAATGACATCTGTGCTAATATCATTAATCAACTCTCAAAAAATTCTAACCATCGTTCATTGTTTATCAAAACTGTTTATCGTACAATTTTCTGAATGCAATAATCCACAAAAAAAGTCCACACAATGAAATTAGCTACATCTAAAAATTTTTCCCCAACTCTCTTTACGTCTAATAATAAATCCTCATCTGGACTTATTCCGCTTACTTCTCCATGAATCCATCAAAGGGGCCATCCATTTACGTGTTCGAAACGTCATAAAACGAGTAAAAAAAAAAAGGAAAATGATTACCGTTTCTCCCGTAACACGGATGCGGTTCTCTAGAGTTCGAGCAGAGAATTCAGAAAGTGGGAAGGATCGAGGGAGCGCGGTAAATCACGCGGTTGCGGGATACGCAAATTCGAGGGGAGGAGAAGAAAGGAAAAGAGGCCGTGAGAGATGACGTTCAAGAAGGGATTTAAAGTGTTCCTCTCCGGAGGAACGAGGCTTAAATCTTCCATCCTGACCTGTCAACTCACGCCTATTTTCCGCACCGTATGGGCCACCATATCTGAAAGCTGCTAGCACGCCAATCACGCAGTTTATCGCGCATCGTTGAAAATGAAATCTGACTGGTTGTTATTTCAAAACATCTCCCCCGTTCCTGGACGAAACTTACAAATGCCAGAGGAGCCTATTATACATCCGATCCGGTGATATTTATCGCGCCCAGTCTGCTCGAAATATATTAACACGAGAGATGGATATATCATCGACTCGTTTGAATACTCGAGATTCTACTTTTATGGATTCCTTGTGGATTAGAAATTCTTCGTTCGAGATAATCGTATACCGTCGAAATTTAGAAATTTATATCACGCTTGGATTTATATTGGATACAGTTGAATTTCATGTTTAATATCGAATTAATTGCGAAATGTAAAAAAATATCGTCGAGAGATGGATATATCACCGACTGGTTTGAATCTCCCGCCACACTCTTTTAGAGATTTTATACACTTGTATGGATCCCCTATGGATTGGAAATTTATATCACACTTAAATTTGTATTGCATATAGTTGCATGTTTAACATCGAATTAATTGCGAAATGTAGAAAAATATCGTTTTATACGTTAAATAATCAAATTCAATGACACTAACTGTACCTATCATTGAAATTTTATATTCTGTGTTTCTCGGCTTCAGGTGATATTCATCCAAGTACAAGTATCCACCTTATCACGCGTATCGAGTTTCGAAAATCGCATCTGACTCTTCCTCTCTGCCCCCCGGATACGCCCAATTCCGCGCGCACGCCTCATTGAGGCCAGGCGGGGAGACAGGCGGTGGTTAAGATAAATAACAACGGTTTAAATAGACGAACGAAAGTAGCGGCACGGGAGTACAAAGAGTAACAGGCGGGCTTCAAAGAGGCCGTGCGCCCCTTTTTGCGCTCGTTAACCGGCATTCCACCTCCTAATTCGACGATCCGTGTCTGGAAAGCCAGAGAGGGCCACGACGATCCTCTTGCGCCGCCATTACGGAACGACACCGCGGTTCCAACACGCGGGACGGATTCCTTGCCCGCGACGTCCCAAGCCCTGGACGGATTCCAGCGGGGAGAGGTTAAACGCGGCATTTCCAATGTCCCAACGCGCTTGTTACAGCTCGCTGGAATGCGCGGCAACCCTCCCCCTCGTGATACCGATCTCCAACGCCTTATCCCCGAGATCTTGCCTCGAGATCGCGTAGGATCTCGGATGAAGATGTTGGGAGAAGGACGTTGGGGAATTTCTTAGGATAAAGATAAGAAGGGGGTGGAAAAGTAGTATAGGGAAATAAAAGTATGATCGATACGTAGTTATCTGTTGTAGAGGAATATAAATTTTCGATCATGGAAAAATCTCTTTGGGGGGGGAGATTGATTTAACAAATTTTTAGAATTTTTTTCTTTTCTTTTTACGTGAATATGTTGTAATTTAAAATTTTGGTTAAAAGAATTGGAAATCGTGTATCGATCTATTAATATATGTATAATTTTAGTATGGCCTACATTTTTTTTTATTAAGTAGAATTATTGGTGTAATTAAATTTGAGTGTGGAATTAAGTTTTGAATGCTTCGTAATTGTAAATAAACGAGATACAAAAATAAATATTCTGATAAATAATATATTATCAATCAGATGTTTATCCATCGAGCTGGAAAAATTCATGAAATGTTCCTTGGATGCAAGGAATCAAAAATATTAATTACGATATTCGCATTCGTAAGATATTCCCGTTCATATTGTT